CATCTCTAGCATGAATACTCCAGTGCTGTTACACAAAATCAAGCAGTTTAAAGCCCCCACCAGTATTGTGTGCTTATAAAGTGTTCTGATTGCAAAAAATCAATACTTGATTAGCTACCAAGACATTAAATATATGACCTGTGTAAAAGCTGAACAAATCTTTTACCTGAATGTGGATGGAGAATAAACCACCTCCTTGGGCCAGCAGTGTGGTGAATCAGGCAGTGAGGACATAGTGACAAGGGAGGAAGGAGGGAGAACAGAAGGGACTTGCTGAATCCCACCCCAGGAACTAGGCCTCTAGGACCCAAATGTCCCTGTACAGACCCACCTGTCCCCCACCCCACTGCCCAGGAGTCCAGGAGCCCCACTTCAGCTCAGCCCAGAAACTTCAATTCCTGCCTAAGCTAAGCACCTCCAACTCTCTCTTCAGCTTCTGGATGGGCGCCTGGAAAATTATTTTTTAAGAATGTTATTAATATATCCACTAGTTAGTCTGGATTTCACAGTCCCAGTATCATGGAAATAATACTGGTTGGAAAGCACTTCTCAAGGTCATAGTATCATGGGCTAACTCATTTTATAAGAGACATCCTGAGAGTCAAGTCAGAGTAGGTCAACTGTGTGCATAGACCAGATTCCCAGGTTTTATCCAGCCTCTCTTGAAAAACTTCCAGGATGAAATCTGCACCAGTGTTCTCTAGCACAGCCTCCTCCTCCTCAGAGCAGGGCTACTCCACGTCAGGTCAGCTGTGTCTTTGTCTGGCCAGGCCTTGCAACCATCAAGAATGGAGACTCTACAACCCCTGCAGACAATTTGTTCCAGTAGTGCATTACTATCCTAGTGAAGAAATTTTTCCTTATACAATTTTAAGTTGTTTAAAAACATGCTAACATTTTGCATGTGTACAGTAGATATAGAAGCTATTGGACAGTTAAATTTACTTTCCTCTAAATATTTAAATATTTGTAATATGCATTAAGATCCCCAATGAAAAAGCACTTTAGAACTGTACACTTAAGTTGTTTTAGCAATCCCAATACTCAAGCTGGAAAAGAAAGAAGTCTGTCATTGGCTCTCCAGCACAAACAGTATTTCAGGAACAGTCCCAAACCTAATACAATTTTTCAGACTCTGTCAGGGATGTAAAATTAAGATTATCCATAAATGCAATGGTGGTTCCCTCATGCATAATGTATTCTCCTTTAGATTTATTTCAAAATGGTTTCCATGGTTTTAGGTGCTGGCATGTTGTAAAAAGAGTAGGGTTTTCTGAAGGATAAGGATGATAGCTGATTTCCACACCACTGTCTTGCTCGGACAATGCTTGTTTACACATTAAAATACATTATAATCAAGTAATTTGATCTACATTATAATAAAATAATTCAATTTCACTAATTTTATGGTAAAAAAACCTTTCTCACAGGACTCAAACCATTGATAGACATGAGAAAAGGCTGGGATAATATGGCACCACTCCTGCATGCATGTTCAGTAGTTGACAACAATGAACCTCATATGAGCTTTTAAACGAAATTGAAATAAACCTTCAGCAAATCCTTCCCCCTTGGGCAGCCTGCTGAATTATTTTTGCAGGTACTCACTGGGCTACTCACTGTAAATTTAACAATGTTTACAATCACTCTAAGATTAGCATCATGGTGTTTACAGAATTCTATGAAAATTGGCAAAACTGAACCCTTGTAAACCAAAATGGGGAGTAAATTCTAGAAACTAGACCAGATCAGAAAACATGTGACAAAAGGTTTGTCTTCTCTACAGCTGGGGATGTGTTAGTGCAAAGTATGGTTTCTGATGTATATTATAGAAGTAATACATGGAAAGGATTCCTGGATTTTATTTAAGCTAAAATTGGTAACACCTGTTCTCAGCAGGCACCTGCTCTTTTCCCCTTTTAAATATTTAATAATGTTTATGATTAATTTAGTACAACAAGCTAGAACATGCAGCTTATATCACAACCTTTGTTTTCTGTAGATTGTTTTTTAAACTGCTCAGTAATTTATCACAAGAGGACCATAATGGAGTAAGACCTTGCAGGGGAAAAAAAACCCCAATAGTCTTAGGGTCACAATTGAAGTAAAATACTTGCTCGGTTGTTTTAATAGTTTGGCTAAAGTGCCTACAAAAATGGGCCTATTTTCTTTGCCAGTGTTTACACTTCATGTCAGTATGGAGAAACTACGATTCATATTGTCTCTATGAGATGCCACTGAACAGTATTACTAGTACAGAGTAACCCAGGCAAGCCAGGGAAGGCTGAGTAAATAAAGTTTAACTTTTCAAAGCAATTTCAGCCTCAACTCCACTGTGCACAACCATAGGCTTGAGAACATAATAAACTGTACACACCTCTGGATGTCATGGGCAAGAATCCCAATGGTGTGAGACTGTACAAACTCAGGGAGCAAATAAACACAATTCCTATCACACAAACCATAAACCAGATGAATCTAACACAGAAGAGGAAAAAGGAAACAATTATATAAACTCTGTGTGCATGATCTACCACGTCAGAGGTTCTGCTGGCATCAAGGGCAATGATGAATTCATAGCTTACAGGAAAGAATTTGTAGGTGATTTTTTTTTAATGGATCATTTGGCTTAAGAGAAAACTGGACAAATTTAAGATTTTCTTTTTAAGCCACACAATACAAAGCTATCTAACTATCTCAAATATGCTTTTAAATTTTTTTTCTTCTTTTTTTTTTTCCTAATGGCAAACTCCATATCCAAAATGATAAGCCTCATTTGGAAACTTCAACTCAGAAAAATCCAGTGATTTTTCCAAGTGAGATCTGTGAAGAGTATGCCTGCACCAACTGTTGCAGCTAGGTTTCCTTTATTGAATGTGCTAAGAATATGAAATACAGCTCTTCTAGTTGCAGTTATAGAAATAAACTTATATTCTAAAAATATAACTCAGATTATTATGTTAATATCAAAGTAGAACTGTGAGTTATTTGCAGTCTGCAATTTTTCCTGGTCAGATTTGTAGTTGGCCTCAAGTAATTTCTCTGTGTTGTTTGGAAAACTGAATTCCCCCTCTATAGCTTGGTAGCTTAGTACAAACACAACTGCTTCGATGTTTTAAGAGCATCGAGGGACTATTTTTTTTCAGGCTAGAAGATATATTGCAGAGAAGTTCCACTAACTAAATGTCTGTTCTCTGAAAACAGACATTGGAAAGCATGTTTGTAATTTCAGACTCCGTTTTGTTAGGCGTATACAAATGCAGAACTAAAAACAAACACAAATCCATTCCCTAAAGAGAATAAGTGTACACAGAAATATCTTTACAGAAAACTGTTTCCAAGCAATGCAGACACTAAACAGTATTCTAAAGTTTTCTTTTTAATATTATGTTGCTCCAGTAAATGTAATAAGCAAAGGAAAAATTAAGCATTGGAAGCATTTTCCTTTACATTGGAAATATTAAAGAGGAATAGCAGATAGAGTTCCAAACAGGACAACTGTGACAGTGGGCACCATGTTGATGTAGACTAAAAAGGGCCTTTGGAGAAAATTGTTTAAGGCTTAAATATGAGCTTTTAAAATAAATTAATGATGGAATACAGTGGGCATGTGAACAGCACTGTTGCACTAAAGGCAATAGTATATTGACTAATAGTTAATTATAGTATAGTGCAGTAGATATTTGTCAGAAGAATTCTATTTTAAGGTTTTCTTAAATTAATAGTTAGAGAATAATGGGTTTAAATGATACCTCCTTTTAAAGGTATATTAATAAGCTCCCCAACTATTTGGAACACATGGTAAAGAGTTACAGACTTCAGTGGAAAATGAGTGACTATACGACTTCAGTGTTTTGGTTGTGGATCATAGTGATTGTGTTAGTATTCAAAACCGCAGTTGCAGCTGTCTTTAAATGCAAAGCACAGAAAAACTGACACAGAAAAGAGACAAATTGAAATCATTGTAACACCACTTCTTTGGTTTTGCTTGGGTTTTATTTCTTTTTTCCTGTGTATGTACAACCAGGGATTAAATATTCAAACTTCTGGAAGGAGACCACAAGGGTGAGTCCTGGAAGGAAGCTAAATACAATCAACTTTTTTTTTTTTTTTTTTCCTTCTAAAGAAGCTATTCCTGAAATACACTGAAGTTCTTTACACTTTCACCTCATTTCTAAGAAAAACTAAACAGAACTTCTTTAGCTGGATTTCACTGTATTTAAAAGTTGATTCCTGTGCTATTGAGCAAAGCATTAATACGTTTTTTTCCTTGAACTAAAAATTCAGTTTGCTAGAAATTATTTAAACTGAGCATGTTCATAGTCCTCTAAGGAGTGTGTACTCTGCCAAATCTGAAAATACTTGGAAGAGGAAGAAGGTCTATCTTGCATACTGTGCTACATTTTTTTTTTACGGAATTATGAACAAGAACTGATGCTTAGCTTGCACAGTTTGTTGGGTCCATGCAGTGAAATAAACACAGCTGCATTTATTACAGTGATTGCACAATCACGTATTTGGTACTCCCAAACTTCTGGGAATATTCAAAGAGCAGTATGTGCTAAAAATTCTAATTTCCTTTACCCTCTCTGTTACTCTCAATTTATTTTATATTTAATGTAAGGCTTTTGTTTGTATATTTTAATAGTAATGATTTTGCAACTACAGTAATTTAGATCATTTGCACCAGTTGTAAAGAGTGGTACTGCCATTGCATAGTCCATGGAAAATACAAAGGTGCCACTTGTCACTTTGAGTGATCCTCAGCTCAGCTACTCCATGTAGACTTTACTACTCAGTCTAATTTCTAGATAGCCATAACACCATCCTTCAAATTATTATTTTGGAATATGAATATATTTTATTCTATTTTATTAAGAACATGCCAGTCTTTGAGACTGACTTTATACATAAACAAAAACACCGAGCTTTGCAGCACAAACACATTGTATCTCATCACAAGCAGTTACCAGGTAGATTAAATTAAGCCAATAAACAAGACAGCCAGAGACCTTTAATGATCTACCACCATGACAAAGTCTCCCCAAATGAATATTTAAGAAGAAAAACAAAAATATTTTTTCTGGTATCTTGTAAATATCCAGAACATGGATAGTATGTTAAATATATTTAGGAAATATTTTGTCTTTTTTTTTTAATCTGAAAATGGAGAGGGGTGTTTAGACAGTGGTGGAGTCACAGATCTCTGCACACACACCCACTGTAATTTCATCAGTGACTGTTTCATTCATGGTGGAGGTCCCAGGGACAAACCGTCCTCACTTACAAGGAAAAGAATGGGGAGATCTGTGCTCGTTGATAGAGGGTTTATCGTGCTCTACATTTTTTCAGTGACCAAACTCTGCATTTTATTTATGAGGCAGAAGCTGTTGCAACTATCAAAACTCATTCATGACTGACTGGCATACCATCCATTTGTATTCATAACTGAAATGAAACAGGGTGGCATCTTTTTAAAAAAAATGTTATATGTATAGTTTAAAGAAGTACTTTGCTGTAGCTGTAGTCCCTGTTGGTGGGAAGATAACACCTAAGGAGAAATTAATTTCTGCCTTTGGTGACCAGCACAGTCTGCGTGTTTGGAATGCAATTAAGAGGCTTTTGTCCATTGGATGTATTGTTTACCCTGAGTCCTGAGGCATTCATTTGAAAAGATAATCAGCTTTGTTAAAAGAATACAATTTTGTCTTGTCTGATGGAGTGGGTTTTTTAAATTATTTTAGATTTTTTTATTACAATATTTAGTTAGTGAATCAAAATGTAAACTGTGTAATTGCTTCAAAGGAGACCAAATAGAATAAATTAGAGAAGACATAATGTGGTCAGTGTCCTAGATAAATAAAAATTATATACAGAACTTACACAAGCTTTTGACATGATCTGTTTTCATTAATGCTAAGGACAGCAACAAGAGACTTTGATCAGCATTTATGAAATCTCCATATGTTTCTTCTGATTTTCAACTGATAATTCCTGGAGCCTTTGCTTTTCCAGATGAAGGTTTTCTTGCACAAATAATGACATCTGTATTCCTGTTGTAGTTACTTGCTGTTTGCATACCTGTAGCTATGTAACTCAGTAATAATGAATAGTTATACATGACTTAGATTAGATGTAAGGAAGAATTTTTTCATGGTGAGGGTGCTGGGGCACTGGAATGGGAACCCAGAGAAGGTGTGGATTCCCCATCCCTTGAAGTGGTGAAAGTCAGGGTGGATGGGGCTTTGAGGAACCTGGTCTAGTGGAAAGTGTTTCCACTTTATCAATGAAAAAATATATCAGACATTTTTCTGCTACAGAGGAAGTGGAAGCGCAGAATGCACTTTGTTAGGAGACACAGAAACACCTCAACCAAATGAAGAAAATTAGTATGGCAACTCAGGGAGTACTATTATTGACCCACTGAGAGAATTTCTCAGCAACTTGGTTTCTCTTTGGGGAGATATAGGTTGGGATTTTTTCCATTTTCCAATAATTGGAGTCTTAAAGACAGGTTGCCTCTGAATTCCACACAAATATGGTGACTGGCAGTCTCTGTTTTTCCACTCCACTCAGTTGAATACCAGGTCCAAAAACCTCTGATGATCACTTGAATTATGAAGGGCCCGTTATGCTACAGTTGTATTTTCCTCAGCTCTATGATCTCTTGCATGTATTTCTATTCACATCTCTGTTGCCTCCACTGTTCAGCTCCCCTGAGAATGATCCAACATACTGCTGTGCCTCAAAGTAAAAAGAGTACATTTTCCTGAAATTTTTTCACAGCGTGTCAGCTGCCTCTTTTTATGCAGCAGAGCTGCAGCTGTTCTACACTGATGACTTCAGATGCTTGCAGAGCAAGCTTCAGATCATGCATCTGTGAGCAGGAATGGAAGGAAGGAAGCAGAGAGCTCCTCTTTTAGAGGCAAAGAGCTATTACACATCCTTGGTGCGCAGCTGAATCATATCCCTAGGCAATCACAACTACTGCTTCCTCCACGGTGTCATTGCCAGTGCAGTTAGCTTTGATTGTTCCATTGCACCATTAGTAGCATGGCCTTTATCCAAAGACAGCTCTGTATAGATAGAAAAATGGGAAAGGGTTTGAGAGGTTATAGGCTGGCTGAACACAGCATGCTGACTCTCACACTTGTGTAGATAAGCAGAGCACTGTAGTTCAGAAAAGGTTGGGCCAGCTAAGCAGAACAACCCAAGGTCTAAACCACATGCTGGGCAGGCTCAAAGAAAAAAATTCCAGCTTAATGTTAGGACTGAGAAAAAAGATCACTGGCACTGGTGCAACAAACCACTAACCTTTAAGGGAGTGCTCAAGAAAACACTGTACTCATCTACCTTGAACGTGTGAATATATCTACTCAGTTCTTTGAATAACAGGCATGAAAGTGTTGGAATTACACTACTGCCTTTGTTTAATGACAATAACATGGTGAAGAAAATCCAAAAAAAGTTCTGCAGCATGAAAAAGAAAATGCAGCTCAGTTCCAGGCTTCAAGTAGGTGTGTGATCCAGGGATATGCCAGACAAGGAAAGCTTGGGGTTCACAAAAGTTGGAAATGATTAATGTTCAGGGAAACAGGATCTTGTAAGTAACCTGTGTCAGAGAGACACCTGTCATCATCAGAGAAGTTCTGCTTAGTTTTAAAAGAATATCCACAAGATTCCTTTTCTGGACAGAGTTCTTTTGGGCCATGCTGGCTATGAACTCAAGCACACAAAAATACCGGTTCCTGATATTCATAAGCTGGAAGAAAAGTAAGGATTGAAAGTTCTGCCACATAGGCAAAGATGATCTGTGACCTAATGTAGTAGTGTTGCCATTTAGAGAAACCCAGCAAAGCAGCTGTAATGTTATTAGCAGTAAATTATTTTATAATTTGACATTTATAGAATGCACAAAAAGTATGTAGTCATGAGGGACAGAAAGAATTCTGGTGCTATTTGACTTTCTTGGGAGTCATATCTACTCCCATTTGTTGCCTATCTTATGCAAGTTTTCTTGAAGAAGATTTTCTACTAAGAGAAATTAACTATGTGATGATTAAGAGTCCAGTGACCCAGAAGGACGGAAAGCATCCACATACTTTTGGTTAGCCAAGAAAATAAAATATCAGAACTTTTCTTGCAGAATTGTCTCTGTGTTAAGCTTACACCAAACTTCTACAGCACAACAGCTAAAGTAAGTCAAAAATATGTAAGCTGGCTATGTGTCCTGGACATAGAGCTTGCTTTCTGCACTACAAACAAGATCTCATTAGAGCTGCTCTGAGAGTGACCAGGAAATTTCCTCCTCCACCCCTACAAGTTACACTGTTGTTATTTCTGCATATCCATTTTGGTTGGGTTTTCCTAGCCTACACAAGCAAATATCTTCAATCTGTGGACTAAAATACAATGGATGAGCTTGGTGATCCCAGCTGACTGCATCTAAACTACTCTCTTGGCACAAAAGTACAATTTCAGGAAGAGCTGCCTCCTGTTACATGGTTGGCCATGTGGCTTTTGTACTACTGCTCACCACTTGCTTCTGAGAGCCCAAAAGGATTGAAGAGGGAAGAGCAGTGTTCATTCTGCAGTGGGTAATGAGTAAGTCCCACAATACTTTTCTTCTGTTTCTTGAAGTAGAACATGAAAGTTATTAGGTCTTTAATTTGGTAGTTTTACTTGAGGCTTAAAATGCCGAAGGATGAAAGCGACAATTCAGACAAAACAAACTTTTCAATGAACTTGAACTTTGATTAAAAATGCAATAAATATTGCCTTGAAATATTTAGTGGAGTCACTGCTGTCCTTTTGTCTACCTTTCTCCTTTGTCTCTCATTTTTCTGTGCTCTGTTCCTCTTCTGAGAGGATCTCCCACTCCTGACTGAGGGTATTTGGAGGTGTGAGACCTGGAACACCAGAACTTGCCAGGCCTAGCTGTGCAAGTGGAAGTGACTGCTGCCCACTGAGCTCACAGACCTCCTTCTCCAGTGGATGCAGATACATGGAAAGCAGCCTCTTGCTCCCACCAGTTAGACATCACAATTGCCAAAAAACTGCACTGTGTGAGTACACAGGGTTGGGATGAGTTCACCCAAGGGCAGGGATGGCTCACCTGAGGGCAGTGTCCTGCCAGACAGCCGGGACAGCACCAGGTGGTCACCCTCTGGCCCACTGGTGTCTGCTTCGACTCAGTGTCCCCCTGGGCCTGCAGGAGTATTTAACAGGGTCAGGAGCATCCTCCCAGTTCTGCCAGAAAAGGAAACATTTTTCAGTTATGATCTCTGGAAACAGACAATGTGCATGGCTACCTGAGGGAGATGGGGTGTCCCTATGAAAGTCTGTACTTCTGCTGAATGTAGAAGTCTTAAATGCTTC